TGGAGAATCCGATAACATAGTGTAAATTCGGCCTAGACGAATAACTTTTCATAAAAATACAAAAGTATTTCGTGAAAAATTCACGCATCATCACCTTTTTGAAATTCGGTGTTCATTTACAGGCATTCAAAGGAGCAGATAATTCTAAAGGAATATGTCTTCATATTTAGAAAACACTCCTCTATCTTTTGAGACTAAATAGAACTTTCTAGCGTTCGTAGTTTTCAAGTAGTACTACGTTTTCTCTAAAAATCGACCGTTTTTACAAAATCTCGAATTTCTCGAAAACTAAGGGTGATGGAGCAATTTTACTTTCAGATTCGTATTTAGGACGAGGAACCCTATAAGAATCACCTAGTGGATATCGCGGAATTTAAAAAAAGGTTAAATTTGTTGGATAGTGTTATCAGAGCAGTCGGATCGTTTAAGTTTAAATCCTCAAAGTAGTCGCGAGTTTATCAGTGTTGGGCCAACAGTTTTTTCAATTCCACGAGTTCGTGATGTATCAAATTCAACAACCCCAAGATCGTCCGTGTCGACACTGACAAGTTCAAAGTTGTCCGCGTCAGATCTCTCGAGCCTTGTGGATCATGTTCCGCGAATCCAAGGTTGCACGTATCTGGTTTCGCAACTGTATCGTCCATACTTGGGATCCTACGAGTCCAAACTCGCATAATTTCAGCTCGCGGGTTCGGCGTCGGATGTAGCTTGTCTGAAATTGTTGAATCATCGTCTTCGCCAAAAGGGAGTTATCAGGGTCGCGTCGGGTGATCCAGAGGATACTGGAGTCCTTTGAATTTGAATTGCTTATTCGTTTCATTCGTTTCACGCTGCTTATTGCGACAGAGAGTTTTTGTGCGCGCGCTATGAAAATTCCAGCGGGGAAGACCTTTGGGCGAGCGAGTTCAGTCGGTAGTTAGCAGTCATGGCGATACACATTGTGCAAATTGAGTCTGCTTTGCATAGCCGACCGTGCATTCAGAAGCTATTGTCTTGCAGCGCCATTTGTCCGACTCATCAGCCTTTAGAAATGTTTCAGACGAGCAATCGATACATTCTTTCTGGTGCGTTTGCTGACAATTAACTTTCATGCTTATTCAGCTTGGTCACCTCGAACACTCGACGCGTTCGCGAACTATCGTCCAGTATTGTCATTTTTTATGTATGGGTACACTGATTCAAATAATCGAAGCTCCACATCGAACGTATGAGAAATAAATGAAATATACTAGGCTCCAATATTTTTGAGCAGTGTACAAATCATAACCTTTCCACACTTTTCTCACTTGCTTCGCATTTAGCCAAACATATCCTCCGTCTCCATTTTTTAAACCGAAAACATTGCGTACGGCGTTACACGCTGTCATCAGCCACGAACACGTTGACTTTTAATTATTTGCACTAATTATTCTATTTTCCACAGCTTTTGCAGTAGTAACTGGCGATATCTCGCGATCCATGTAACGCCCAGTTGGAGATCATTATTCCCGTTTGAACGTTAATTTCAAGCATTTTCATCTGTCATAATCAATGAATTCCACGTTTTCTGCGTAGTGCATAACGTCGACATATGGAATGTAATCGAGGCATTCCGAGAAAACGGTTTAAACACGTTGGAACCATCGAGCACGCTGGGAGTGTCGAGGCTCGAAACCTTACTGTCTTCCTTATTTCACGCCCTTAATAAACGAGTGCCTGTTTCGCAACAAGCCAAAGTCGATGCTACAACAGCTCTGTTGATGAATTGGCTGCTCGCTGCCTATACTACTGGGTATATACGAACATCGATTGGTAAAAGTACATTAAAGTGGCCAATAAGTTTCCAAACAAGTTAACTAAAGACCTGACACCGAAACGATGGGTCGAATCTTGTCCACCAACGATTAAAAAGTTTCTCCCCGACGCAAATAATAATCGATAGAAGTACCAAAATTTAGTAGAACTCGATTCGAGGCTTACCGGGTGCCGAGAGCTAGAGGAAGCGGAAGGTCAAACGTTCCTCGCCTATACTTAATAGTATTTTCCTTAAGACTTTCGCGCCCGAGTTCTTGCTAATACTATTTGAGGCTTCCGTGTGTAAGCTGCATAGCCAATTAGAAAATGTATCTCACGTTTGTCAGCATCGCAGAAGGCTTGGTTAGGGATTTGCTGACGCGTCGATACTGAAATACCTTTTTCGGTAGTCGTTTAATCCTTTGCACTCGAGGCCTTTTTTTTCTGGTATCTACCAGCAACTCGAGTTCCAAAGAAACTAAATCTAAAGAAACATTCCTGCTCGTAGATTTGCTGCGTCGAACCTAGTGGTGACTCACCTCTAGAGTGCAAAGGGTTAAGTTATTAGGTATCGGAAAAAGTTCGTGCGTTTCATTCGTTAATTGTAACTATATATCGATTTTCGTGTGGTAATTGGCAACTGTAAGACATGAATTTGGTTTCATTTTAAAGCTTGATCTTTGTAATTGGTATTAGGGATGTTCGATTCCGATTCGATTCTTTAGAAAATCGATTTTTTGAATCGATTCTTTGGTATTCGATTTTCCCCAGAATCGATTCTTTCATGTAAGAATCGAAGATCGATTTTTCTTAACAATAACAGTACATTCACCCCTACATTACTATTCGAAAAAAGTATAGGAATAGCGATGAAAATATAAACAATGTATAGAGTCTGCCTTTGGTGTAAGAGGACGAAAAGTAAAAAAATAAAAGATTGATTCTTTACAATAATCGATGCCGAGCGGAAGAATCGTATGGGAATCTGCTTACAAAAATAAAAATAAAAAAGGAAACAAGAAAGTCGATTCTTTTCAAACCGATTCTTGCAGAATCGATTCTTTGGTTTCGATTTTTAGGAGATATCGATTCTCTCATTCCGATTCGAAATCGATTCAAGAATCGATTCTTTCCGGTGAATCGAACATCCCTAATTGGTATGCATGCTCTGTGGAGTTCAATTGTTTCGTTGTTGCATAGCTATAGGAACAGTAAACATGGACAGCGAAAGAGTAAAAATTCGTGCTTTTATTCTTTACGAATTTAAATTCGGTAGTACAGTAGCAAATGGAGCAAGACGCATTTGTAGCGTTTGTAGGAAAGGTGCTGTTAGTGAAAGAACCGCACAGAAATGGTTTAAAAGGTTCAAAGAAGGAAATGAATCGGTTGAAGACGAACCGCGTTCAGGGCGTCCATCTGTCATCGAACACGAAAAATTCATCGAGTACGTAAGTTCAAATCCCAGAAAAAGATGTTCTGAGCTTGGTCAAGTATTCGAATGTGAAGAATCTGCCGCAAGAAAGCGAATTCATTCATTTAATTTTCACAAAAGATTGGGCAAATGGATATCGCACCGTTTAACAGAAGAGAACAAATACTCCCGGCTGAGCATTCGCAATGTTCATTTATCGATCGAATTTTAACTTGTGATGAAAAGTGGATGGAATATGATAATGTACGACGATAATGTGGACTGGAAAGTAATGTCGTTTCTTTTACATTAAACTCAAACAAATTTTTTATAAATTTCTATTTTTAATTATTAATTATATATTCGCTTCCGTTATCAACAGCCTTTTGTCATCTAGTGTGCAAATTGTCAATGCCAGATCGATAAAAATTAATGAACTGATGAATGATAAACAAGTATTTAAAATTGCAAAAACGACATTATTTTCCGGTTCACCTAATAAATAAAGCGTATTTCGTTACCAATTCGTCGACAGAGAGCATTTATTCGTTTCGAAAAGATTTTAATTTTAATTTTAAGTTTAATTTGAATCAAACTTTGACTGAGCATTTGCAATATCCATTTATCGATCGAATTTTAACTTGTGATGAAAAGTGGGTGGAATATGATAATGTACGACGATCACACCACTGGGTTCAGAAGTGGTCACGTGCAAGAGGAACCATACCAAAACCGAGTCTCCATTCGAAGAAGGTGCTGATCACTGTTTGGTGGACCACACGAGGTATCGTTCACGTTAATTTTCTTCCACGTGGGGCAGACTATTGCTGCAGATACTTATTGCAAAGAAATTGATGAAATTGATGATAAATGGTGATTATTTCGTTGAATAAACCTGATTTAAAACAGATTTGAGTAGGAGTTTAACTTTTATCCCCTTCAACATACTCTCCTCCCCCTATCTATACACCGCTGCATACGTGTCTTCCATTGTTCAAAACAATGCTGTAGCTCATCAGTTGTTAGCCTCTTCAACAACTCTGCCGTTTTTATTTTTACATCTTCAACAGATTGACTGACTGGGTGCCTGAAGGTCAAACCGTTAATCAAAAATACTACAAAGAAGTCCTAATCAAGCTGAGGGAAAGAATAAGGAAGAAAAAACCGGATTTGTAGAAAAACGACTCATGGATTCTGCACCAGGACAACGCACCAGCCCACAATACCTTATCTGTAAAGCAGTTTTTAGCGAACAAGCACATTCCTGTGCTTGATCATCCTCCGTATTCGCCAGATCTCGCACCGTGTGACTTCTACCTGTTCCCAAAAGTCAAAAGTGCATCGAAGGGAACACATTTTCAATCTGTTGAACATGTAAAAATAAAAACGGCAGAGTTGTTGAAGAGGCTAACAACTGATGAGCTACAGCATTGTTTTGAACAATGGAAGACACGTATGCAGCGGCGTATAGATAGGGGAGGAGAGTATGTCGAAGGGGATAAAATTTAAATGTAACTTTATTTGCAATAAATCACATTTCTCACACCAGTCTCGTTATTTAATTGCCACACCTCGTATTTGTATTTTTCTCTGAAAATCCGCACGAACTTTTTCCGGTACCTAATATCATGGATATCCCGTTAAAGGGTCACGGAGAATGTATTTATCGATCAGAAACTTATTGGCCACGATCATGCTTGTCGTTCATCGGTTGAAAACGAATGTTTGACAGGGAAAACAATAAGATATCGGTGTTCTCGGTGAAGGTGGCTCTGGCCACGTTGTGCGCTGGGAAATTGATGGACAAGTTTCGATGTAAGTTACAATTCTTTCGCGCTACGAACCATTCTCGCGTTTCACGTTTAATTGGAATCGTTTGTGGGGCAGATATATACTCGCAAATATCTGACGGGAACGGGCACATGATACATTGGAGGTTCGCCGAGTATTTGAAAGAAGTTCTGGCGTTAACGGCTGCGGTTTACGAGTCACCGTCTTTCGGATACTCCGAGGGCCTCGCCAATTCAATATTCCCTCAAGTAAGTTCGCTGAACTTCTGTCCAAGTACTGGGTTAACGCGTTGCCTGCCAGGCTGCTTTTGGCTCGGACTCATTTCCACGCAAAAAATTCTCGAATTCTCCCTGTTAAACGTGTGTCATTAGTTCTTACTGCAAACGTAGGCTTGTACACCAATCATCGACAAACATTGCGTTGCTTTGTCCGTAGTACATCCTCAGACATAACAGCATACGTTGGAGTAACTCGTATCGGATTTCTGTATATTTTTAATTTGCGAGCGTACTCTTGCTTCGAGCATAATTTAAGTAATTTAAAACCATGCGCCTCTTCTGTGCGATACAGCCGATGCGATCTCGAAAAGGTTTTATCGATTCGCAACGCTTTTCAGGAGGGTCATGTTTCATCAAAATTACATTTGGTGTATTACTTTTATTTTACGAAGGCTATTATTGAAGTACAACGAAAAACGATAACTGACAACGCGGTTTACAGAATGTTCCCATCGATATAGGGCATGTAATACAAACAATTATTGCTCTATCGTGTATCTATTTATATCTTAACGAGGAAAATATCATTCGGCGTGGAAATGAATGGCAGGGAACGTGTCAACACGCGAGAACTTCTTCCTAATTGATGGTGAGCCAGGGATGAATGACTATCGTTGGTGTCGCACCGTGTTTCAGAACTCGAGAGTCACGGTTAACGATTTTTTGGACACGCTTATGTCTGATCCAGGACCGCACTGTTTAATCTGGCTTCCATTGTACCACAGAATGGCTGCTGTTGAGACCGGTGAGTTTCCACGATTTAAAATTATCGTGAATACAAATCTATTTCTTTCTCTCTGTATATAACAAGTTTTAAATGATTGGAGGATCGCATGCCTGCGGAATGAACCGAGTATTCGACTCTGGAGAGCAATTCGAACGCCAGGAATAAAAATATTGCGTTTTTAGTAGATGCAACGTTCCTCGGATCTGAAAGACCAGGATCTCCTTTTTTTTTACCCCTTGATCCCTGATGTAAATAATATCCACGTGACCGGATTATTTTGCTTGACAAAAATTTCATTAATTAAAACGCTTCATTAGATGCTCCTTAAAATTATCAAGCATCCAACAGACCTAATCCATGCTCTACCATTCGCATCTTCTACCAAAGGAAACACAAAGTTGTTCCTCGACATTATTTACATTATTACTGCCAGGGCGTAATGTGTTAAGACGTTGACTGCCAGATTAATAATCGTGAAAATTCTTTTCTATACAATTAGAAATTACGTAATCCATCATTATGGTAGTAATCATTTTTGCAACCTCTTTAGAATTTACTAATCCTATCTAGATTTCTTTTCTTCGATCCACCAGCTTCACAATTAATTTACAGTGGGTGTAGAATGTATTCGTAGACCGATCAATTTCCCAAAAAACTTTTTGTGTGAAATTGTAGTTTCTTAACTTCTTTTTTTCTAATCAATGATATTTTACATATTCTCGGAAGTCTCTAAGATACAGATATAGTCCAAACAACATTTACTAGTTAATATAATTTGTGAAATTAAGGGGTAAAACCACTCTAGGATTTTCAAAAAATCAAACTTTTTTGTTTTTGCTTAAACGATACTTTAGGGTCATAAAAATAATACGTCATTTGATTTGTAGTGAAAAACAAATGTTAATAAAACTTTAAATGCGTTTTTCTCGAAATCACTTTTTTCAAACTAGGAGGACCGATTTCTCAGTGACTATTGCATGGATCGATTTGAAATTTTTAAAGTAGCTTCACAACAATAATCTCTTTGGAAGTACGTAGCCGTTTTTTGATTGGATGTAAACTATTTTTTTCATAAACAATTTAATGCTCATTTTTAGGGAAAAAAGTCGATTCATTGCTTAAAAAGTGCGCCACTTCCACAAAAATTGATTAGGAAGAAAAATCCTACGTACTTTCGAAGCCAATCGTATATAGATTATAAATTTTCTTTAGCTTTTGTTCCATGACTCATAGATGCCGAGAAATCCGTCCTCCCATGATGGTGTTTTCAAAAAAGCTGTTTTCGACGGCGGGCTCTGTCGCCGTCATTTTGCATAAAAATGACAATAAAAAAATTGTTTTTCGTTCTTCAATATGTGTTAAATAAACCCTCTGAAAAGAAATTCTATTCCATTTGTCACACTCGCAAAATAAATTGTCAAATTTAGGTCTTTTTTTCTGCCTCTAGAGTGGTTTTATCCATAACAAAAAAAATGCGAAAAGGGGATAAAAGTATAGAAGTAATAAGTATTTGTACGATTCTTATGACGAACCATTTACAGTAGAGTTTGTAACCTAAACACATTAGTTTATTGCTTCGTACGAATTAGAAAACATCAAATTTCCAGTCAAGTACTTTAAAAAAAAGCTCTAATAGAGGAATGGAAAAAGATCCCACTTCTTATTAACTTCTAACTAATAATTTAGTTAATTTAACGCTTAGAAGAGTTGCAATAATTATCAAATCAAAAGGAAATCCCACGAAGGAAGTATTATATACTTGTAAATTAATGTAAAGTTCGTTTTTTTTTTTTAATGAAATTTAAAAAATTAAACAGTTGTACGAATACTTATTGCTTCGATATTTCTATCGATTACTTGTTTTTTTCTTGTTAATTTCGCAACTTACATAAATAGCTATTTTTTTTTTTTTTGTAATCTATTTATTCTAGAGATTTCCGAGAATATGTAGAATGTCATAGTTTATAAAAAATAAGTTAATAAATTACAATTTTACATAGTTTTTTTGAAAATTAATCGGTGTACGAATACTTTCTACACCCACTGTACATTTCTCAGTGAAAACCCCTATAATCTGGACAGTGAACGTGTTAAAATCTGATAGGGACCATTATCCATGCCAGTATTTAATAACACGAACGGTATCGACTACGCCTCATTCGAGTAGGTGATCCTCTGATTATTCCAAAAGGCAGCGCATCGTCGAAAGTCGGTTAATTGTGCTCGTACGCGGCGTGATCTTTCCAGTGGCCCATCCCGTCATGTGCGACGCGTGTCACAAAGAGAACTTCACCGGCTTCCGATACAGATGTCAGAAATGCCACTCGTATCAGCTTTGCCAAGACTGTTTTTGGCGCGGTAAAGTTTCCGGGACACATAATAACGATCACGAAACGAGGGAGTACAGTAGTTTTGTACGTATTCTGGAGTTGAGGTTTCAAAGTTTTCCATGGACCATATAACGCGTGTTTCTAATGCGAATACTCCATCTCTTACCTTTCGCGCAGAAATCGCCGAGCAAACAAATCGGGCACTCCCTGAGGAAGAGCTTCAGATGCGTACCTGAAAAAGGGAAGAACAGTTTACCGAGATTTCCAGAGCAACCTGAGAAGACGTTAGACTTGTCGCACATAGTGTGAGTCTCGTTGATCCTAGGTCCACGTTAATAAATAGTGTAATTTATCTCTACAAATAAATTCAATTCACTTGCAGCCCCCCATCACCTCTACCATCTCACAACGGGTTTCCAGATCCAGGTTTTATGGCTCCGTTCGACTCTGGATCAATGGATAGCCGTTCTACCTTGAGGAGGTGAGCATGGAACGGTCTTACTTTGCACATTTATCTCTGTGAAATATCCATATGAAGTCACATTTTATTTATTTTTTTTTGTAATTTTTTTTTTCCTTATTTGGGTATTATACAGTATGGATAGTTCAAGACTGGATGATGAACATAAATTAATAGCACGATACGCACAAAGGTTGGCTCAGGAAGCTAGGACCATGGTGAGATATATTAATCCTTTTTCTATATCGCAATAATATAATTCTTTCAACGCACACTCTCTACTTTCCTATCCGACATGCGCATGCATTATGTCTAATATATTTTTTGTGAGATACTATGTAAATTGTGTAGCTGCACTGTACGTGTATTCACACGAATAATCGTGGATAGAATAAAATTACTCGAGTTGTTATTATAATAAATTTAACTAAAGGAAAAATGTATGGAACTTGTTGGAAGTATTTAATTTTATTATATTGGAATAAAATTGTACTGAATGTTGTATCTACAACCTGACAGTTTGTTTAACGATAAGAGCATGGAATGATAACCGAAACACCCGTGGTTGGTAAATTAGGGTAATGAAATTAAATACAGTAACGGATCGTGAACGTGTGACACTAATTTTAACTTCGTAACTACGTTGACAGCCTCGTGCCTCGTCCAGAATGTCGCAAGCTGAGCAAGCAGTAAGTACGAACAATTTTTAACGAAACTCAAAGAATATTTGGAATACTCTCGAATGTTTTCATGCTTATGTAACGAAATAAAAACTCGTGTTTCAGGGTAGGGCGCCGTCCGACGCAAATTTGGCATCCTTGGATGCCTCGAGGGCACAACGCGAGCTTATATCGCAGTTGGAAGCGAAGAACAAGGAAATAATGCGCGAGATTGCAAGGTTAAGGTATACCTGTGTCGTTTATTTCCTTTATATCAAGCCTAAACCTCGAGATCATCCTGTCGAACCATCCTAGAATCATGCATGTTTTGAACATTCAGTTTCGCTTCGTCACCTTGGTTGCATAGAGTGCGTATAAGAATCGAAGACATCACACCTATACTAACAATTACAATTCTTCATTCCTCTACGCAATTAAATTCATAATTTGTATATACAGTGGGTGTAGAAAGTATTCGTACACCGATTAATTTTCAAAAAAACTATGTAAAATTGTAATTTATTAACATATTTTTTATTAACTATGACATTCTACATATTCTCTAGAATAAATAGATTACAAAAAAAAAAAATAGCTATTTATGTAAGTTGCGAAATTAACAAGAAAAAAACAAGTAATCGATAGAAATATCGAAGCAATAAGTGTTCGTACAACTGTTTAATTTTTTAAACTTCATTAAAAAAAAAAACGAACTTTACCATTAATTTACAAGTATATAATACTTCCTTCGTGGGATTTCCTTTTGATTTGATAATTATTGCAACTCTTCTAAGCGTTAAATTAACTAAATTATTAGTTAGAAGTTAATAAGAAGTGGGATCTTTTTCCATTCCTCTATTAGAGCTTTTTTTTAAAGTACTTGACTAGAAATTTGATGTTTTCTAATTCGTACGAAGCAATAAACTAATGTGTTTAGGTTACAAACTCTACTGTAAATGGTTCGTCATAAGAATCGTACAAATACTTATTACTTCTATACTTTTATCCCCTTTTCGCATTTTTTTTGTTATGGATAAAACCACTCTAGAGGCAGAAAAAGAGACCTAAATTTGACAATTTATTTTGCGAGTGTGACAAATGGAATAGAATTTTTTTTCAGAGGATTTATTTAACACATATTGAAGAACGAAAAACAATTTTTTTATTGTCATTTTTATGCAAAATGACGGCGACAGAGCCCGCCGTCGAAAACAGCTTTTTTGAAAACACCATCATGGGAGGACGGATTTCTCGGCATCTATGAGTCATGGAACAAAAGCTAAAGAAAATTTATAATCTATATACGATTGGCTTCGAAAGTACGTAGGATTTTTCTTCCTAATCAATTTTTGTGGAAGTGGCGCACTTTTTAAGCAATGAATCGACTTTTTTCCCTAAAAATGAGCATTAAATTGTTTATGAAAAAAATAGTTTACATCCAATCAAAAAACGGCTACGTACTTCCAAAGAGAATATTGTTGTGAAGCTACTGTAAAAATTTCAAATCGATCCATGCAATAGTCACTGAAAAATCGGTCCTCCCAGTTTGAAAAAACTGATTTCGAGAAAAACGCATTCAAAGTTTTATAAACACTTTAATCGCGCTCTGAAGCGCTGCGGCAAAATCGATAATTGAACCTTTTAACATTTGTTTTTCACTACAAATCAAATGATGTATTATTTTTATGACCCTAAAGTATCGTTTAAGCAAAAACAAAAAAATTCGATTTTTTGAAAATTCTAGAGTGGTTTTACCCCCTAATTTCACAAATTATATTAACTAGTAAATGTTGATTGGACTATATCTGTATCTTAGAGACTTCCGGGAATATGTAAAATATCATTGATTAGAAAAAAAGAAGTTAAGAAACTACAATTTCACACAAAAAGTTTTTTGGGAAATTGATCGGTCTACAAATACATTCTACACCCACTGTACAACTCTAAGAGAGCCATGTCCGAGAAATTTTACTAACTTAAATATTTGCTTGAACTCGCAACCTATTAATTACCTATTAAAACATATATTGCATAGAAAAACAGTTAAATACATCTGTCTTGGATAAGTCTTCTAATTGAGAAATTACTAATCGAGAAATTAGATATTCGAAACAATGTTCACTGATACGTACAATAATACTCACTAGATTCACATACAAATACAACATCGATACATTCTCGCTTTAGCTGATAATGAACCAAATGGAGTATCTAGTTATCTAACATTTTCTATTTGAATGTTACGATCGACTACAGGAGACAACAAGAGATAGAAGCTGCTGGCTTAGAAAATCCGGCGTTGATGTCTGAACTGAGAGCTCTGAGACAGAGAAAAGATGAGCTAGAGAGTCATTTGGCAACGTTGCAAGATTCTAGGAAACAGTTGATGATACAACTGGAAGGTTTAATGAAAATGTTAAAGGTAGAACGCACAATACACGTTAAGGTGAGGTCCCATGGATGTAATGCTCGTGCTCGGGCAATAAATTATCCGTGCTCGCCGGATTTTGTTCGAAAACACGTTCCTACTAGCGTCCAAAAGGTCGCTATAAATGCGACGACAAACGGTTTGGAACCACTTGAAAGGGTCGATTTTTCCGAGCGTTTGGGTCTCGGTCCATGGTCTAGGCTCGCGAGCACGGGAACTATTCCATAAAAAAAAATCGACCCTTTCGAGTGGTTCGAAGCGAGACCCCCAATACTTGTTTTCACCGAGACCGTAGGCGCCTACTTGGGTTCGCTCAAGGATCTGGGATCAAACGGCCGATCGACTCATCAGTTTTTGATCAAATCGAATGCTTTATTCTTCATCGTATCAACGTGAACGCGACGCCATTGGATTCTTGGCGTTCTCCTAATTAAAATGATATCTCACGTTGCGTAAATCGAACTATTTTTAACGAAATAACTTTTCAATTATGCAATCAGCATAATCAGCATAGTTTTGCATATAATTTCGTGAAAAATAGTCCGATTTACGCGATGTGAGATGTCATTTTGATCGTAGAAGCATCAGGAATCGATTGAAGTTACTTCAGCAAAGTTTCTATAAAAATTGTCGAGGTTGGCATTTTCAATTGTTTATGACATCCCCTTGTCGACCGCCCGTTGCGATGATGGTGCGTGGCCTTTTTCGGGATTCCGTGCTCGTTTAGGCGTTCGCGCGGCTCGTTGTGCCAGCTCGTCTGGGTCCATCAGACCCTCCTGCGCGACGTGTTGACACTTTCAAGTGGACGTTGCTCGTGCTTGCCGCCCAAACTTACATACATGGGACCTCACCTTTATAACTTCCATTTGATGATCGCGGTACATAGCGGGGAAACTGTTGTCGATTACAGAATCATCAGGCATCTCCGAGATCGACACCAAACAGTTCACCACGGAGTACGAAATCACCTCCCTTGCCGCCAGGTGCTGTTCCAAGCAGTAGATCGGCCCCCCCAACTCCGGGTGGTCCTTTGTCTACAACCCCGCAGCAACAGCAGCAACAGACCCAAAATCAACAACAGATGTCTCAAAGTTATCAAAGCTCTGTTCCAACAACGTCAGTGGCAAACGTGCCGACTAACGCTATGCTTGGAACGATACAAAATCCTATTCCAGATAACTTGTCGTGTGTCGGAGGTGACGTAAGGTAGGCAGGCATATGGAAAATTTATATTAAAAATAAGTGAAAGAATAGTCCGGAAGAATGACACACAGAGCAAAAGGAAAACGCGAATGACACACTTTGTACAATAGATCGTTTCGATGTTAAGTCAGTTAATGGAATATACACGTATTCCTCAATTTAACGGGGAAATGATACTTGGTGCTTTCAGAAACGTACCGACAAGTTTCGAACCTTCCGATATTCATAAACACAAAGAGAAACTCTTTCTTTGTTTTTATAAATATTTTTAATTTAGAATACTTGTCTATATGTTTGTGAACCACGCGTACGACGTAATTGTACAAACATTTTTTATTGTATTTAACGAACCGAGTAATAATCTCGTAGAAGTTGGCACTACTGTCTTTCACAGGACGTAAAATAATATTATTGTACATTATACACATTCGCCGTATGCTGTACGCCATATTTGAAATAGTCATTATTACTTAATCCATAATTAAATAAATTACTGAAACGTTGAAGTTATAAGAAGGAATCAAATTAAAAATGTAAATAGTTTTACAATCGTGTGTTTTAAATCTCGCAAAAAAAAAAAGAATGTGCTCGCCGATTACATTTATTTGTACTTTATATACACATGTTTAAAAGTTGATTTCTTCTGAACGAACAGTGCTAGTTGTAATAGACGTCTAGTTGCACATTGTATAAAAATGATCACAAGTAATGATACCTTAAATTGCTGCATGTGAATGTTAATGAGAATATATTCTTATTCAACTGGTAACAAGAATAAGTTTGGTACAAGTTGAATGTAAGAAAATTTTTGTTTTGAAACATCCGTACACCGATAAAATTCGATACTGCGAATTTTAATTTCCGTTTTTTTTTTTTTCGTTAGGAAACATCGATATAATTAAGCGATATTGCTTTTTGCTACTTTGTGACGCTTTTAGGCTCTATTGGATTTTCGTAATTTTACGTTATTGATTATATTTTAATTTTCCACAACTGCATTTAATTACTTTCGTGAAATTACAGGCATGCGTATTATATAGAATGGAACAGTTAATGTCAATCCACTTGAAATAGCACGTTGACAAATTTTATTGTACACTTGAAAAATGTTATTATACTTTTTTCTTTATATAGAATTGTACAATTATTGCGCATATGTTCTTTTATCTTTAATAAATTAAGGTAATATGTATTATTTATCTCTTGTTTATCGCAATTCATTTACCTGTATTTTTTGAACATTCACGTTAAATTTTTCAATAAATATCCAATGCACTGACACAATGAAAGATTATTATTTATCTGATAAACAAGTTTTATCACAATAAAAAAAAAAGAAAAGAAAAGAAAAGAAAAAATGCACAAGGTACCGCAAGTTAAACTAGATTACTATATCATAAGAATTCGTACAATTATTTTGACTCCATGTTGCATGTGTGTGTGATAGCATATGCTAGTTTGAAATTTGCAAGTGTTTACACATTTTGTACTCTGATTACATTTCGGAAAGAGTAAACTTTTAATGATAGATGCTTGCACAGTGAGCGTGGCATGACGTAAATTTAATTTAGTTTTTTTATTTGAAAGTTGCTTCATGCAAAGAAAATAGAGATTTTCGATATCAGGTCTGCGTTCAGGACAAACAGCTTGCCAGGAAGTGGTTCCAGCAGCGCGAATAATAGCTTGGGCCGATCTTTGCGAAACGACTTGTTGGTAGCTGCTGACAGTGTTACTAATGCCATGTCAACACTCGTGAGGGAACTGAATTCAGGTATGTTAAATAACGAGTTTTAATAAAATTTGCATCAGAAATGAATGCAAAGTAATTTACGTAGATTAAAATGGCACAAGGATTTGTACTTAGTTATTTTATTTAATATAGGTCTTCGATAATTATATATTTCGATTAAATACACGAAATAGAAGTTCTGATCCCTTTGAATAGAAAATATCATAGCCAACTTTGAGAGGTAACAATCAATGTTTCATAAGTTAAACATTTGAACATAATGTATATTATTTTATTTAAAATAAAAGACTTTGTGAAATTTACGATATTGTAAAAATAATCTGTTTTAAATAAGTGTTTCTTATATATTTACTTTCTCTCATAATATTGTTCATATTAGTGTAAACAGGCATGTTTCACAGTATTTTTATTCTATCATGTCATTAGATCTTTATGGCATGTAACGATACTAGCATTCCCCTTTCTGTTTCTAGTGAAAAAGATCTTGCAAATTTATTATCTATATAAAACGTAGATATACGGTAATTTTAATGTGCATATTTGTTCACATAACAAGATATAAGTAAAAGTAAAATTTATGGTTTTAGTATTTCTTTTCCAATATAGTAGTCAAAGATAAAATAAACAATTGTATAGTTGTACTGAATCTTTGCAGATAATTAAATGTAATTAATGATTTTTCGAAAATTTATTCAAAGTGATACCGAATGAGTACTGCGTTTATAAATAAGAATCATTTCATGTGAATTGTGAGGAATTCACGAGGAAGGTAAACAAAAAAGTTCTGCTTACATTTGAATGCATAATGACAATTGAATGACTAATACTAGTTCTGGAAAATTAAATATAATCGTGCAAATATCTCAAAACGATACCCACAACTTTTTTAAATATATTTCCACTATCATCTGTATATTACTCAAAAACAAATTTTTACACATGTAAATATTTAGTTTCCACCCTACTTTACACATTTGCCTGTTATAAATTTTACCTTGTTTTCTCTCATTTAGCATAGAGTTAGCAAAGTTTAGTCTAGCAATAGCACAGACTACACTACACGCAAAACAGCAAGTGCTTAATTGGCAATTATACATTAATCTCTGAGTTACATCGAAATCATAAGGGTTTAGAAACGACTTTATAATCAATACTAGATCGAATCGAAATTTAATATATGAAGCTATTTATTTTTAAATTTTTTATGAAATAAAACTAATCTTTTGTTTCTTATATTTACAGTATATTAATTTTATACACTTTGAACCCTCCATCTGCAATCATATTTTCCAGACAACCAGATTTCTCTCTCATTTTTATTTTGAAGAAATTAGAGAGTGAAATTTCACTCTTGAATGACTCAGATTGCAATTGGAGGACTTGTGAAATTCAAAATTACGAAATATCTGATATTTTTTCAAATAATATTTTTAAAATGATTTGAAATTTGTGCGAAATATTTCCATTGTACTCAAATTTGAACAACAAATAAACGTTCCTATACAAATAACACTTTAGACGTGTTGTGGAATGTGTGTGATATGCACCCCCTGTGAATGTGTCCTGGTGGCTTGCAGACTCAGACCAGGAGGATCATTCTCACAACTCTGGCCGAATTAACATCAGAAAGCCGTTAGGTAAGAGTTTGTTGAAATTTTGACCATTATTTTGTACATTTTGACATCATCACAAGCATTCGCAGAATATCATATCACTTGCTTCTTTAGCATAAGTATAATCACTACAATGAATGGGCGTTATGACAAATATTTTTGCTATTTCAGAATGTAAAGTTAAATTACCAATATAATTGCCAGGTATACTTTTGTAATAATTAAAACCACAGAGAAGTTTTCTATTCTATTCTTAAAAGTAGTTGACTAACTGTTGTTCAATTGCTATATATATTTATAGACCTGTGTATTCGTATTTACAATTTTGTAGACATGTTTTTGTTGGCTTAAGTCCCTGTAAATGAAGCTATCGGTACTATAAACGTACATCGCTAGTTCAATACTTTAATCGGATAGATATACGTGATACAAATTGTATAAAAGTTAGTACACTTTTTAACGAGAAATAACAAGAATAGAATATTGTTTTAAAATAAATTTGTGTATCTCATATAAATTTGTGATGCGATTATGATATAATTTGTAAACTATTGCCTTGTCCTTAGACTTCGAGGCTGGTGAAGACGGAGACGATAGTAGCGGCGGTGGAAATTCTTGGCGGGAAGAACTCCAACGTCGCTATCAGCAAGAAAATGATTTTTTGGCTGAATTGCGAGCACGTAACGTTAACATGTCGCAAACACCATCTGCTACTCCTTCCAGTGAACAAGAACAAGAAAGAGGAGAGAGAGAAGAAGCAGATGGAGAAAAAGAAGAGGATAACGAAAACAATTGGACAGAACCAGTGATGAGATTGAGACCAGTCAATCGATAAGTTCACTTAAGAACGTTCACACGTATTTTATAACAGCTTAGAAACTGAGTTTAGTGAAGTTAGCACCTCCAAATGCAAATTTCGATTTTAATTTGTCCACCTTTCAGAAAAAAGTTACACCACAAACAAGCCATTTGAAGTCAACACACCTATATAGACCTTTGTTTAAGGGTTTTCTTAGCAAATGTGTCTCTCCACATTTTGTCCACTAATGTTTTTCGTTTGTCCAACAAGTATTTTCGTTTGTCCACCCCTCAGAAAAAAGATACACTTCAATTAAGGAGAAGTTGCCAGCGATACGCTCGGTTGCGGGTCATGTGTCTTCGTTTTATCAATTTTGTAGCTAATTATTTCTGTCTGCGCAGAACCATTAACGTTATTTGTTTCTTCAATTAAAGTTTTCGTTTGTGTAACCCTTAGGAAAAAGTTATGCATAGATTAGAAAAATATAGTATCGCTACTTACACTTAGAGCTCTTTCACACGACGATACGCGTATCACAATACGCGTATGCGATACGTATCTGCTAGCAAGATACTTATGCTATACTGTATTCAACTAATTTCGTAGCTCGGTGTTGATCATTTGTTTTTTAGTTAAACATATTTTCGCGTTCTTAGTTAGTGAAAACTTTTCTGAAATAATGGATGAGATTGAAGCTTTATCCATTTGGTGTCTACATAAAAAAGCTACTAAAAGGAGAAAAGTTAAGAAAAAATATTGGGTTCATCCTATTAATAATATAAGAGAAGAAAAGGGAGCTTTTCATATTGTATTCGAAGAACTTTGTAACGATCCATGTAAATTCTTCAATTATTATGTCTAAAATTTTTTTTTGAAGAAGGTGAACGAAATCGCCGATACTGCGCAGCGTCGTGTGAACGCTTGGATCTATTTCAATGTTTCGTCGGCCGCCCCGACGCAGAAAAAATTGCCGGCGGCCGATCAACCGCGGATACCGAAAATCAGTATCATCAGTCTCGCGTATCTCGCGAGAATCGCCGTCTGAACGCTTCCATAACATTATGTGTACCATCGGTATCCTGCATACAATGTTCATCAATTTAATAATTACACTGTCCAACAAATTTAACCTTTTTTTAAATTCCGCGATATCCACTAGGTGATTCTTATAGGGTTCCTCACCCTAAATACGAATCTGAAAGTAAAATTGCTCCATCACCCTTAGTTTTCGAGAAATTCGAGATTTTGTAAATACGGTCGATTTTTAGAGAAAACGTAGTACTACTTGAAAACTACGAACGCTAGAAAGTTCTATTTAGTCTTAAAAGATAGAGGAGTGTTTTCTGAATATGAAGACATATTCCTTTAAAATTATCTGCTCCTTCGAATGCCTGTAAATGAACACCGAAGTACAAAAACTTGCCGACACGAGTACTTTTCACGAAATACTTTTGTATTTTTATGAGAAGTTATTCGTCTAGGCCGAATTTACACTATGTTATCGGATTCTCCA